GCGTAGATGGGTTCGATCGGCCGCCTTTGCCGCCCCTACGATAACACACGTGATCCAGCATTTTGAGTCAGCTTCTCTCGTACCTCCTCCTAGCTCGATATATCGAAGCGCACAGCCTGCAGTATAATAGAATCTGAGTAAATTCTGGCGTGGATTTGCATCCAGGAACCATTGAACAATTTACGCTCGGCAGTCCCTTTTAAATGACCGAATATTTCCTAATAGAGAAGATACACGTGGGAAATTGCTGGTCAAGAGAATATGTATTTAAACTTAACTACATCGAGCGATTGAAATTATGCTTTCATTTAAACTGGCAGGAATGCCAGCTTGGCATTTTAGCATTTAGAGGCACCATTGAGACATATAGCTGTGTACACCAGGAGAAGTACATATCTCCTGTGCATCTTGGCATCGAAATACCGGAGCCACTCAGCACCCACGTTAATCTTTCTTGCCACGCAGTCTGGTTGATGAAGTACAAAACTTGATCTACTTGTTGTTGGCTTTGTAAAATTGCCGTGGTTGCTTCGACTTGCTAATGAAAACGAGACACAACTTCTCGGTGCCGGTCGTGTTGCAGCATAGTACGACTGTAACAAAATCTTTCTATGAATACTTTTTGTATAGCATGAACGTTGCCAGCATATTGTTTAGAGGTATGCAATAGAAGAGTGCCAACTCGTCGAATTTAAAAATGATCCTCGTGGTCAATATTATTTAATTATCCCTATAAATTCCATTCGATTCATTGTACGTTTAGCGCAATAAACTGAATCTGCCTAGTTGTGAATACATGCTGATGAATGCCGTGTCGAGTCATAATGTTGTGCAGTTAACCATTCGAAAGCCGCAGGTCGTTCTCGTTTGTCCCATGAGCGGCTCGGGTTGAACGACCTTCTTCTTGTAGTGTTTCGTCTTCAAAAATTGCTTTGATGTCATTGTGATGATAAAATGCAAGGGGCTCAGCCTCGAACGATGTAATAAAAGACCTTTTGATTGCGCTCCCTGCCCATCCAAGGAACGCGTTGGATTTCTTGGAATTTTTTTGCTGCTACCGTTTTAAAGATCCTAAGGCCAAGCTTCGCTCTGACGGGGCGGTGCAGTGCTTAAGCCACAGCTGTTCTGACCGGGAGGCGCGGGCTCAAGCCCCGGCAAGTGCGGCGCACCCGCCTAGGTACGAATCTCAACCGCACCACCGAATGGTAATGAAGGGGAGGCAATTGATAGAAAAGGTAAAGCAAGTGTGCATAAGGTACGCCACCGAGTCGCAAATCCTGTAAGTTACTGATAGCAGGTATCTGGGCAGTTGAGGAACAACATGTGAAACTTCTCCGGGTAGAAATGAATCTACCATGCTTCTCTCTGACCCTGTCTTGTCTTTGAGCCAGTTTTTCGCCTGGTGTGCGTGTGATGTGCACCTGAACCTAAAGCTTTGGATCCCATCGTCAGAATTGCTCGCTTTGTCGATATGTTTAAGGAGGAACGGAAGCAAATGTGCGCAATGGTAGGAAGTACGAGAATGTTGCAAGTCTAATGTAGAGAAAAAAAACTGTTGCTTGGTGCGCACTGTCTTAGTCCTCCATTTCTTTAGTCTTTTATATAAAGTCAACATACAAAAACTAAGTGACGCAGCTTGGTATGGGAATCGGATTTTTCTTGACAGAAATTAAACTTTCGATAGAGGTTCTTATATGGAGTAACGACTGTAGAGCTGAAAAATTTACGGCTTGCGACTTCGCGCCAACCGACGCCCGCCCGCAAAACGTCCGTTGCACCCATAAATTTTGAAACACGTGGGCGTGGGTGCGGGCGCCCAATACAAAACTCTGCTGTAAAAGAATATTGTAGGTGGGAACTCTTTAGCGAATTGCATTTATTTCTGTACTTTAAGTAAAACACTGCCTTAAGACTTTACAGAGGCTTAGTCAACTCGACGCTTGCAAAATTTTCATGAGGAAATTGTCATCGGAGACCCGTGTGCACCAGAAATTGAGCAATTTATCAGTGAATAACCCAAATACCTGCATAGCCTGTTCTTTCCTACAAAGAGATTTCAGTCTAAGTCTTTAAGTTGAGGAGAAGGATCGGTAGTGTGGAGACATGGGTGCATGATGCCTATGCATTCCTTGCTTCTCGTGTCTGAGCCGACGTTGTAAAATACATCTACACAGCGCACTGCTCTGTACGGACACGATCAGGAGCCGAAAATACAGACTTAGCACTCCACTATATCTTTCAGGTTAAACACCTTTATTTTTTATATTAACTGTATCAATGCATCCTTTTTTGATCACTTGAAAGTGAACTGATATTCTCTTCTCTTCGTAAAAGCGACCACTTATGGGGCATGAAACGTAATATAGTTGATAAAATCTGCGCAAGTTGTACAAATGAGGATCGTTTACGACAATCGAGCCCACACTAGTTGTACTTTGGTGCTCGTTAAGACGCATCAGAAATTAGGGCCTAAAGAGTCTAAGATGGAAAGCAGAAATGCTCTGAAACACCAATCGACTTATCTCTTGTCTTCTGAAAACACTTTTGTTTTATTAGAGCCGACCTTTAGCCTATTTACCCAAGTGTGCGCAAAAGCCGTTTTAAGCTCTGCTCATAGCAATAATAAGCCTGTAAAGATGCCTATCTATGCTAATGTAGTTTGGATCCGATATCAGGTCATGTTAATCGTGTTCAACGGTTGCATAAAATTTGGTGTACGACATTCGTTAGGAGAGCAAATTCCATTGAACTTCCACCCGAACGATGCACTAAATTGTTGCGACGTATGATAAGAGCACCGAGAATTTGTCATGAAATCGCCGATATTGACAATCGAAAGTGGTGGCCAGGAGGTAAGACGCAACTCACGTAATGTCGATCGCTCACCTTGCCTTAGGCAAACGAGACGTGAGTACGCAGTCATTCATCGGAGGAACTTTGCTCTCCGGCAGATCATACAGTGATGTCAGACGCCTAGTATATGCGTACACGACATTAGACCAAAAATTGGCTTTAATGCAATTGACGACGGCGAACTCGTCAGCGATAAAGTTTGCATTTCACTTCGGAACATAATGATGTGATATGCTAAGGTGCCCGGAAAAGATTTTTGCAAAGTCCGAAGCGAGAACTCTATTTTGGAATGAGAGAAAGCATGGCAAAAGACTTATATATCAACACGCGCGCCAAAAGCGCTTCGGCCCCATAGCCGGGGGCATCGCCAGTGGCTTATCCAATTTAGAATCAAGATCATTCTGTATCTCGCGTTTACCAAATTAAGAACCCTCTCTAACTTAGTGAAACCACACAAATCACCCATTATCACTACTTAACCTGGCACCTGGTCCGTCGAAATGGAAGGTTACGTTTGCTGTGACAACTCCACTTCCAACATATTTATCGGAAGATAGTACAAATGCACGCAAGTTTGGTCAAAATAATCAAAAAGCCTATTTCTGCCGAGGCTAAATCTGCACTCGCCTTAGTGTTGCTCCCGTTTAAGGACATAAACTCAGCCACAATGGCGACCTTACAGGTGCTAGTATGGTAACGCTACACAGCTCTTAGTCAGAGGATAACTTACGATTCTAGAAGGTTTCTCCAATTTCTCTAATCCAGAATCAGCATAACATGCTCGGCACTCTAGGTATTCTTCCACTTTTCTGTGCAAGAGTAAAGGTGCTGTTAAGTGGTTCGTTCTTATCTAAAGCTCACAAATACACAATAGTCCATGTACAAATTCATCGACATCACCTCTGTACGTCCCGCTATTTGGTTTGATAACGGCCTAGCGTACTCACTAATCCTACAATGGCACCAAATGCAAAATACCACACACACACAATGTGTAAGCCTAGCTCATACTATATTCACACAACCTCGTATTATTTAAATTACCTGAATTAACTTGTTGGACGTTAAGGCCGTGACCACATCCCGCGCAACCAGCAAACCAAAGACAAATTCAAAATGACGCGCGTCTCCGTCCTTGTATACATAGTATATAAAGAACAAATCAATAAATAGCGTCAGTTAATTTGTGAGCTACCTCAACCACAAAATCTAATTGTTTTTTATTAATTGTAGTCTACCGTCATCACTAATTTAGTCCTGCTTCATTGCGCGAGCCAGTAGAGTGTGTTGTTCTAGCTTAAATGTATCAAGCGCACCATCCGGTCGTATGGGACCTAATAGCATAATAAACAGTTTCAGCATGAGCAAGCCTCCAGATTCAGCGCCTTCATGGCCTCAATACTTTCGCGGTATCGTACATCAGGCCAAAGCCTTACCTTCTCTTGTTTCATAATTTCTGACATCGGAGGTAGCACATCACACAGGTAGACTCTGCGTCAATTCCTTGCCAAACCATGCGCAAAAATATGTAACCACACATGTTCTAGTCGTCACGCATATCTCGCTCACGCATCGCACGTCGCGTCGGATCGCAAAGCGCATTCCACAACTATCTAGCACTTCTTTGAAACGCGATAGTCCCAGGCTCACTTGTTAAGAGCAATTTAATGTGATCTACACTTAACTAGTTATTGGCTGGTGCTGCTTTTGGGACTGGTGCTGATAATGAGACTTTTGACCTAGGATGGTGCTGATAGTGAAATTTACTCAAACGATGTACTGATGTCCAAAATCGACACGTGCCAAACTTAGATCAGAAGGGGAAATGGTACGTTATTTTTAAAATATCTGTAGTAAATCTCTTTCAACTACCTACTACTAGGGTTAAACTAATCCGCAGATGAATCCTGTCTATTAAACATCGATCGATGGTACATCAATCTGTCATAAATAGATGACGGAGTTTTTCCACCATATCAATCATTTCTCAGACAAAACTGTGGCTGTGTATCACATATACAACATTGATCCCTTTAGGACAAAACGGATGTGTGGATCGGTTTCAGCTGGACTATTAAAGTCGACAGCATCCTCCGTCCGCGCTGATCGCGATTGCTTACGCCTCGCACTTTGCTGGATCAACTGTGATGTTGGTGCACGATGCAGCACTGGAGAGTATCAAAAACGGGGACGTTGGGTTTGGTGCCAAGCTTGCTGAACTCCACAACGTGTCCTCTGGGCTAAAAGCCTGGATATCCAACAAAGTAGGCGAAGGGATTGAGGTATGCCGTCGACTCTGCGGTGGACATGGTTTCTCCCAATCCAGTAACCTTGGGCATTTGTTTGCGGAGATTGCAGGGGCCAACACGTTCGAAGGAACGTCGGACGTACTCGTCCAGCAACACACTCGGTATCTTCTCAAGAAGCTCTCTTTGACTTCTGATGACAAATCTGTGCAGTTTGCGAGCAACGCGAAGTCTTACACTCACCACGAGCTACAAAGCAAAGCCGAGGTTCCTGCGGACTTTGGCGATTTCAATCTTCTGGTGAATGCATTTCGGGCACGCGCTACCCGTTCTCTGCTGGCATTGATGGCATCAATGGAGGCCACCAACAAGGATGGCAATGTCAATATAATTCGCTGACGCACGTATCCATTGCTCAAACAGAGCTGATGGTAATGGAATCTTTCGTGCGTGGAGTCGAGAGTCTACCTGTCGGAACAGAGAAACAATGTCTCACCGACTTGTGTTCACTCTTGGGCGCGTGGCTCATCACCAAATCGCTCGGTAACTTCCGCCAAGTGTACAAACAGGATAGTTAGACATGTGTGTGTCGCGATACTTAAAAATGGACCGTGTTGTTGGCGTTGTATCTTATTTCCCAATATTTACAAGAGGACGCTTCAATGAGGTCGGTGCTAAGGCTTCGACACAAAGTCGCGAGTCAGCCCACCTAGTCGTCCAGCCATCGTTACTAGTGGTAAAAAACAAACCCATTTTTACCATTTTCGGCTTCTCTCTACATACATGCCGTGCAGTACCGCACATCTACAAATCGGATCGTATCAGCGGCTTCAAGTACTTCGTATAGCCCTTCGGAACTTGCGTCTTGTTCAGCGGCTCGTCAGCAGCCCGTTTCACCAAAGCACGATATATGTCACCGTCGTAGCGCCCAATTGTGGAGTTCAGCTCAAAATCACTGAAGTCCCAGGCGTCTGTAAGCAGCACGCAGTTTTTGCGAATGACTGGAAGCAGGTGAACGACTTGCTCGCGGACAAGGTCCGCCTGGTCGGTGGACAGATAGTCATGCTGCCGAAAGTCTCCGAGTGATTTAATGATAAGCCACGCTCCGAATAGCGAACACAACCGCGCTACTGCTTGCTGCTCGCGACCGGGAGGTATGTTTCGAACTCCATGAACAAACGATTCGAGCAGTATCAATTCGGCGTGGGAGGTAGACGCTCGAGCCATGAGCACCATACACGCGTTGCCGTCATTGTTTGCAGCCCTCATATGGCTAGCCAGCATGAGGGTAATGCGCGCAGCTCGCGCTTGAAAGGCTTCCAGAAGTAAATCCAGATTATCAAAATCTTCACGAGTCTCAGCGTCGCAACGGAGCTTACTGTCGCTGTAGCGCGTCACCTGGCTCAAAAACTTGGTGGAATTCTCGTTTGCTGGAAGTGATGCCAGCGTTTTTAGTAGATAGCGTGCATGCTGTTGCACGAGCACGTCAAAGGTACCTTCGTATGTGTTAGCTCCGACAATCTCGGCGAAAATGTGCGAGAGGTTGCTGGACTGGGTGAATCCGTGACCCCCACACAGGCGGCGGCACGTCTCAATGCCATCACTTACGTGTTCGGCAATCCAGGCCTTGAGTCCAGACGATACAGCATGCAGCTCAGCCAACTTGGCGCCAAACCTTGGCTCGCCCTTCTTTATTGCATCCAGAGCCGTGTCGTGCAGCTCTTTAAGAGAGTTCCCCGCAAAATGAGCAGCATACGAAATCGCAAGCAGCGGGAAGAGTTCGTGCTGCTGATTTTGGTAGTCCAGCACCTGGAACTCACCCTTAAGATCTGGTGTTCGTCCTTGGATTCTCGCAGCACTAAAGCGAGTGCAGATGGTCGCAGCCGCTCCCATGAATGTTGCCAGCGTCTCGATCAGGTATGCTCGAATCCGCACCATCGTCAAGTACACCAACTTGTCGCTCTGGGGTTTAACAAACGTACCATCTGGCAGTACCTTCGCATAGCGCATCAACATGTTTTCGCGGGGGACGCGTATCTTATGGAACGCACAGTAGCCATTATCAACGGCATTGAATCCGACTTTGGGACCAATGTCCCCCACTTCGATCCCAGGTAGCGGCATATGGTCGTGCATTGACCGAATCTGGACCAAAAAAGCTTGCACGCCCACATCCTTTCCATCCAAAGTCAGCCTCGCATGCACAATCGCATGATTCGCGGTCTTGCCAAGTCCTCCCGGCCACCACTTGCGACTTGTGAGCGTGGGCGAGTCCAGAATAAACTCTTGTGTGGCCTTATCAAAAGTCGCGACGGTCTCGATGCCCTGCACGTTTGATCCGTGCCCAAGTTCTGTCTGAGCGTAAGCTCCCAGGATCTTGTACTGCTTGGCCAATGGCAGCCACTTGGCTTGCTGCAACTCGTCCCCTTGGTTCTCCAGCGTCGGAATGAACATGGCTCGATGCACGTCCACGCCCAAAGGTTCACTTAGGGCCTTGTACAGGACCTTCTGATCTTCCTCGTCACTGTAATTGCCTTCTTGGAGCAATTTCACATAGTAAAACGCTTTCTTCAAGCCAAACTCGTAGCGCTCCGTGTGGTTCCGGAACATCATGTCGCGGTCCGAGAGGACAGGATGACTCGCAATTATCTGGATGAGGTGTTTCCGACGGTCGTTCGCTGCTTTGCCGCCACGTAAGATGTTCGTCAGAACATTTGGATCGATGTCCCCATTTGCACGTTCTTTTAGGAGCAGCCGCGGGGCCAAGTCTTTGAGCTCCATTATGAGGATGGAGGGGAGCGGGCAAGTTTGATGGTCGGGTGGGCTTCACTTTTTTTTAGTGGGGTTAGAATTTGTGTCCAATCTAGCTCGAGATCGTTTGTGAAGAGCACTAAATTAGCGTATTAAGCTTCACATTAGGGAATTGTTAGGATCGCCTTCAGTTCAGGGTGGACTTCTCGCTTCTTTTTTTATTAAGCATGCACGAGATGCAAAGCATTCTGATTTATCTACTGTGTTTGTGGTACAACCGTTTTTAGTTTGAACTCCATTTTACCGAAACAAATCTCTTGTTAGCTATTTTTCGACGAATCCTTGCTTAGAAAACTGAACGAATAGAAAATCAAGAGAATAATGAGATCTCGCGCACACATAAGATACACCGCTGGTCGTGTAATGCTCATTCGCTGAGAGTTGAACTTAGAACCAATTCAATCCATTTCCTGTGATAAACGACACATACACAGATAGGTGGTTTGAATACCCTATCTTCACATCGACAAACTAATTGCATCAGCCACGACCTCAACAGTGGATTTGGGTGCCTGATTATGGAAATTTGCTGTATGTAATGTACGGAGTATGTCGATTGAATCATTCTAAGCATGACCGCTAATCATGGAAAAGTTGCAAAAGCTGTATGTTTTACGCTGAGCTGTTGACTCATCAAATTTTACAGCTCCTTGTCTACTTAAACGAAAAAAGAGTGAAATAAACAAAAAGAGTAAGTCTAACGATTTTCTTAGAATACTGAATAAATCCAGATCACAATATTCAAAGTATCTCATTGATAAATTTTCGATTTTAAATTAATTGTACTCATTAAAAAGTATGATTAATCTAGAATCGCAAAAATGTCGCGCTTGTATATTTCCGTACGAATATTGTACTTTTGTACCGTTGCTCAGGTTCACATCGAAAAACTTCCAAAAAGAGTTGACGCTGCGCCCAGTCTTTACAAAACAGTGGTTTACAGATGTTCTTCAAGACATTAATAGTTCAGAGAGTTAACGCTGAACGTACAGCTGCCGTACAGCGTGGCAATGTTAAACGGACATTTCACTCACTAGCAGTAGTTGCTGATCAGCTTTTTAAACGGCCGCACGATCTCAGATACAACATCACCAAGGGTATTACAATCAAAAAAAGCTACACTTACACGAAGACGTGTACGTGGCTTAAAGTATTTGAGTGTTTAACACTTTATTTTGAGCATGCCGATTTAAACATTTACTTGGTGTTTGCGTCTGAGTCCAGGTGCCACGGAGCCAACGCGTACTTTTTAAGAGGAGGTGCTGATAGCATTATGTGCTACGTGCATCTACCACTTCGTGTACTCTAAATTTCTGTAGGAGAAAACTCTGCGAGTGTCAGTTGGTGCGCAGCAAGATGAAACTCCAGCGCTGTTCTAAATTTATCAATTTGCCATCGAACACACAAAGATGTAATCTGAAAAAGCGAACGATTCTGTTGAAGTGTCGCAGTGGTTCAAATAGTCTATATATGGGTGGTATCGATGGTAAAGATCTTATCATTGCAATCAAATATTTGTGTTGTTGCCTTTTGTCGCGCAACAGTCAAATCGAAATGTGTGCAGATTTGGACCGGACCGGAATAAGCGGGAACCATAGGAAGCATGGTAATGTCCTCACTTTGTATGCTGACGTATCTACGATAAAGCAAGTTTGTAACATACAAAAACAAAGAATTCGAAGACCTGTCGAGAAAAGAGATACGTGGGTACATTCAAAAGATTCCAGATATTTACGAACGTGGTTGTGTGGATGGTATACGTACAGGAGCTACTGTTCCATTTCAAATTAATTGGCCCATTCTTTTGCTTTTAATTTTTATAAATGAATAGATTTTACATTCATTTGGTGCTACATTTAGCCCTCAACTTTTCGTCTATACATTTTGTTTTGATACGATTGTAAAAAATTTCTAATTTATTTTAGTTGGTATCGAAAATGTGGACAGTGTCAATACTGTAGAATACACTACATGAAGAATTGCTAATAATGAAAGCTAATAACAAAGAGGATAAGCTAACACATTTAAGTTGACCAATCAAATACTACCACAACGAGTGTTGACTGGAAGGGCAAGAGAAACATATCTGCCTGCAAAGTGAGTGATCCTAACAATTCCGTCGCGCAATGTTATAATTACATAATATAAGAGGAGATTACCGTTTTAATTTCCAGTTGGGGTCAGTCACTCTCATATAATTCCGTTAGCCAAACAATCAAGAATTTTTCTTTGATCTGTCAATTTGATGAATGATAAATGCTCGAGTTTGTCCGATCGATTTCTGCTTCAAAAAACACATCTAAGTACGAATGACGTTAACCATCTCCATCTGAAAGACTGACTACCCGTGCATTAGCGTAGCTCCAAATACGCAAATACATGTAATCTGACTTTGTAGTCGTGATTTGCGGTCGGTTTGACCGATGGTAGATTGACAGCTTTATAACGTCGTATATTGCGAGCAATAAAAACGTACCGTATTTTAAGGCGACCTTCTCGCCGCTCTGACATCGCTAAACGTTTTGTCTTAGCGTTTAGACTCATAAATTAGGACAAGCCTGAGACAAGTCCGAGCCAATGTACTGCACAATCGTAAGACAAGTCCTAGTAAGGTACGGTTGTGTAAAGCCTACATTTTACCTTCATTAAATTCTGTCGCGAGTTTTTTTATTACTTATTTAAAACCTATATATGTGGAATCGTAAGCTAGACGCTGATCGTTAGACCAAGTATGCTTAACAGTCCGAGAATGATGCGACCCAAAGTGTCGAGTTTCGGTAGCGAGTCGATGCTGTAACGAACATGGAATACACGTATGAAATTCAATTCGAAGTCAAATGAAATCTGCTATTTTTATCATAATGACGATTGATCTCCAGTTAAACCGCTGAAAGGCGGAGTGAAAGAAAATATGGACACCGATTACATATTCAATTCAAATGCCGATAATTAAGCTGTTCTGGGCCCGGAGTGGCAATGGACACTTTAGCCACCCATTAACTACCTCTCGTACATTAAGAAAGACTAGCTGCATGACCACTTAATGGGCCAAGATTTGTAAACCCCGAAGCCGTATTTTAAAGCTCTTAAAAATGACGATGGTTACAAAAGATTTGTGCGTAAAATAAAAGAGCAACATGATCAGAAGAGAGCGGCGGATAAAGTCAGCACCCAGACTGCAGAATTGTTTAAGAAGACTTACTACATCTTCTTTGACAACGATAAACTTGGCAGCAACGATCGCGTGATTGGAGAAACACCCGGAGTCGTTTAACAGTTGCGATAGTCGTCCCGAATCGACTTGTGCGGTGTTACTTAGCAAATTGCCGTGAATGAGGGGCATGATCAACCCCAGAAGATAATACATGTCATGACCCTAATGCGCGTCACGCTGCCGTGCTTGTAACATTTTATTTAACCCCGGACAACTACTTAATCTATACTCGAGAATCTCGAGGCTAAGCATAATCGGCTGTGTGGATTGATTGCATTGGACATCCTGAACATGCGTAAAAATATCGTCAAAGCAGATAGATGGAATTCCTGACAATTAGTGGTTTTCGAACAAAACTTTCGTCGTAATTATATTTTACTCGCTTGTAATTCCCAGTTGCTACCCCAGGTTCTTTTGAAATAATGTCATAGAGTTGTGGAGCAGATAAACGAAACACAACGCACGAACAAACATGGAGCAGGCATGCATCATGTATTTCTACCACTCAGTACAAATGCTCCGAGCACATTGGCATTTGCTTCCTTTAGAGCGCGACACAAGAGGACATGATACATACCCTACAGATTCGTTAAGACTAAAGTATTATCATCAGTCCCGGAGTTTTCTCACCGATGTTAAACAGGCCGTAATTAATGCTATGAGTGCAAATTTTCCCAAGCTCACTAAAAATCTTAGGTGGCAGTCACTGGCATTGATTTGTATTTGTCTACAGCAAATACAAAGCGATACTAGTGACTGCCACCTAAGTTTTTACTTCCAATGGGTAAATGGAGGTATCCAGTGAACGCTACCCATACGTTGAAGTGTGTTCGCGCTAGTCTTGAATAGAAGTTAACCAAGATCGATGTAAAGAAGAGTGGCATGACAAGAGAGGGCATATTCCAAAAGTATGCCTGATTACGTTTAAAACAGCAGGTGTATATATTACAGTAAGAATTTCGTGCTGTACTTTGGACATTTTCTAGTTTTAAAAGGTGACAGTGCTCGTGTAGCATTAAAAAGACACAGATAACTTCACAAATGAATTTTTTTGCTCATTCTTGCATGAAACTAGTCTGCGAAGAGCAACGAAATAGCATCCAACTTGCTAAATATTGGGACAAATCGATTGTTTCTACAATTAAAAGATATTTTTCCTCACATGAGCGGCATCATGCCGAATCAGCGCCGCCTCGCCAAACAGGAACTTGCCAAAAAAATTGAATCTTCCTCTTGAGTACGATTTCGAGAGCGCCTAATGTGTGAGCAACTATGATTGTACGTGTAGGGCGCTATGCTACAGCTCACGATGGAAAAGGTCTGTGTACTTAAATGTGGCCATAATCATTAAAAATTAGGCAAAGAATTTAGTGCATACAGTATATCAGGAGGCTTAGATCAGCATATAGTTGTGAACTAAGGACCTAATGAAGTTCCCTCTTTGTTTTGCGAGCTCGGAAACTACAGTACGCGTCAGCATAATTCCTCCGCATTTTTATTACCTATGAACCCGATGCTAGTTTCAATCCTGGTGATATTCGTGCCTAATAGAATCTCGACAAAACTTTTGCGCTCATAAATTAATCTTCCGATGTGAGCATTAAGAAAACCTTCATTAACGAAAAAATACCCGACCAGAAGTGAGACTGCTGAAGAAAGAAGCAGCAAACGATAGAATCGATATAGTATTTAACACGAGTACGGCCATAACAAATTTCGCTGCCTTTGACGTATATTTACAGAGAACGTTTATACACGACAAGCGTCACAGGTAGGTGACAAACTTGCATTTCCAACGCGCATGAAAAATTTGATTGCACTCGACGTTCAAAAGTCCGTCCATTCAAGTCCTAACTTCTGACATCCTTCATAGAGGCTTCTGCCGGTATTGTCGATTTCCGATGCTTCTATCTCGATTACGGGGAAAGCGTTATATTCTACTCTACCCTCAAGCATTACTTCAGGTTTCTGGTGAACAAGACCAGCCATAGTCACTATTAAAACCCACGAGACAAGAAGAGAAACCGCAACGATACAATGAGACTATCAGGTGTATCGTGCACTATATCCACCTCCCGATGAATTTTTGACATTTCACAGGGCAGGATACCATGTCTAACCAGCAAATAGTAAATAAAGTGGGGCGATGCCCGTGATTTCTGCATGCAGCACATTGAAGAGTCTGTGTGAGACAAAGCTAGTTTAGGATCGGTGGTGATGCAGATGGAAGGTGCTTATACCTACGTAGGTCAAGATTGAATCAAGAGTACACCATCTAGTGCGCATCTCGCCGTTCGTTAGTGCTGGGAGGAGACATACTTAGTTGCATAAGTGCGCGTATACCGTGTAACTATGAAAATATCTCTGACAGCCAGGTTGAGACATCTTTCAAGGATCTTCGAATCGACATCCTTATTGTCCAAGAATATCCAGTGGCCAGTCTAAATCATGCCCAATATCCAACAATATACTCTACACGCAATTGAGCCCAAGACTATCCACTGCATTCGATAAAAACTTCTATAAATAGAGAAGTATCACTTATATGAAGAGGTGGGGGCATTTGTTCAATTTTTGTTGTATCGAGTCAACCTTCGGCACGACCAATCAGTTCTCGATGATGTTATACATTTTACATATTTTTTTGATCATATCACGTTATCCAACTTAGACAGCTATCGTAGAACCGATCATAGTACAACAACTATTTATACGGCGTCATAATAGATCTATGAGCGTCCTATAAACGAGCCCATTTGCTGCATCATAACTCATGACTATTCACGCACGCACCGAAGACTTTGTCGCTAATTCGACAATGATGAGAGTGCCACAGATGTCTTCGATAGAAAATTACTTGTAAATATTAAGTAAGAAAATTTGTACTTGAGTAGGAAATTTTTAAAAACTGTTTAATTTTTACAAGTTGATAGCTGTCTGAGTTGTAGAGCGTGATACGAGCAAGAATGCATGTAGTGTAAAACGTTATCGAGAATTGATTGGTCGTGTTGAAGGTTTATCGACACAACAAAACTAGAGCAAATGTCTCCACCCATTCATGTAAGTGCTAGTCTGTTCGTGTACCGCGGTAGCCGTCGTCTGCCAAAGATCGATCTTCCAGATCCATAAATGCTCGATGCTGTAAAATGTTTCGCTACGGATAACCGACGCATTTTTATCCTCAGGTGCATTAAAAAGCACGAATTGCATGCTGTCAAATTTGGTCCTGGTGTATGATTAAATCTGTGAAACGGTTTTACAAGCACAGGCAAAGCTCTTGGGGTTTATTTTATAATTGCGAATAAAACAATAGCTTTATTACCTTGGCACCCCGCGGTAGTCTGTGCTTTTACTACTCCAGTGTCAAATCATTGACTGCAAGGCGCTTGTGCGCATGTATACCAACAGACTATGTACACTGCGGTATTTTTTGCAACCTATGAGTCAGCATGACAATTTTCCTGCTGCTTTACAGCAACGTAGTGCCCGCTATTGTCTTACAGTCAGCCTGTTAGACTTAAAATGACACATTAGTGTGTTGCTGCATATTGTCATCATTTGCCGTGATACGAAGAGACTGTAGTGATAACGGACGTTGGGGGGTTAAGAACGTGTAAGAGAAGATCAAGCGGGGTTCCTCGCTACAGCAAAAATATCTGAGGACCCCATCAGATGGATTCGATTGTCGACGTCTTTTCCCTTAATATTATGGGTCTGTCTTGGTGACGGAACAGGTATCACAGAAACTTGAGGGTCAGTGACTGTTGTGGATGCTGCCTCTCGCTTGACAATCGTTTTTCTCCTGAACCCTCATTGTTTATCCTCCTCATTTTTCTGCTCTATCCGTGTGTCCGTCAACTTTCTATCTCGCTTGGCATGTTCTTCTGTATCAAATTTAAGATTCAAAATTATCTTGTGCTCTTCTCGGTACTTCGACTTGAGCTCTATGCCTCTTCAGGTGGCTTCCCGGATCTTTGCGACCTTGGACTGAGCTTTGTGCTGTCCAGACGTTCGTTTCTCTCAGTTGTATACTTTCGCGTATCACTGCCGTCTCTAGAGCCTAAACAACCTCTTAATTAACTAATGAAGCCGCTTAATGCACTTGTGTAGTTGACTTTCATTCTACTTGCTGCCATGCAGCGTGTACTCCTTCCTCTTTCCCCGATTATCCTGGACATAGTCCTCATGCAGACACGCTTGCATCTCGTCTTCTGTGACGTCCTTTTGCTTACCTGTAGTATATGCAATATCTGCTTGTCTAGTCTCAAAGGAACACCGCTGAGCGAGCTGACTCTCTTTCCGTATGCTGGTCTTCCATCCAAAATGTGTCTCGTAATCCATCCATTTTTATTGCATCCTCTCCTTCACTGTTATCACGAGCACCAGTGCTTATTCTACTTGACCAATAGGTGCTTAACAGCACAGGTAACGGTGGTGTGCTACTGATTTTCACTGCAGCCAACAACTCATAAGGGTGTGGTGGAGTGGGTTCGCAAAGCTACTGATGCGATACCGACTCTCCCCTGGCAACAAGACAACCAACTTTCGGGGGGAAGAATTCGTTTGCGTGCTTGCATCCATCGTCACATTGTGTACCCGCCGGTAAAGCGGGCTGAACTCTTTTCCGTGGACTAGTGTTAAGGAAAAGCTGACCGTGTTTGAAATGGGGTGAGTGATCACTAGATAGTTTTAACGCGATCGCGGTCTTCCTGTGGGCTCGATTCGAGTTGCGTAAATCTCCCTTGAGATCGCCTTTTCCAAAATGTAGATACTTGATCTGCTTGACCTTCTGACCACATGAGCCGTCTCGCGATCTTGTACCTTATCATTTACTTTGATGCTTCGTCCTACCGCAGTTTGGATTGGTTGAGGGTTCTTGAACCCCAGCCAAGTAATCTGGGGATATCACTTGTTTTCAGTATTCAGACCTTCTTTACGCCGAAAGGCTAATAAATTCAACCCGAGAGGAAAGTTGGCGCGTGTGTTTAGAAAAAATCTAAAATCTGTTTGATGTCAACATGCTAAAACCTTAAACCTACGGAAATGCATATATTCATTTCAGGATATGATGCCACTCGTCTTACCTTCATGAAATGCACCCCCTTGTAACTTGTGGTCCACATCAGTTGCACGAACAGATGGATTGCAAGACGCTGATCGTGGATCTACAGGTTGCAGATCACGGTATCGTGATCGCGTATCATCCGTAATGTGGTACATATCAGTTACGTACTCCACAAAACGACTTTCAATCTCTTCTTCATGCGATCGACAATCGTGGGATCGCAATCGTGTATCGTCCATGATTACAAACAGCCGTAACTGAATCATGTCGCGTGTCGATCAAGCAATCACCATGTGTTCTTTCCTTATTTTTACACCTGGTACACCCAATGATACGCTATCCTTGGGTCGCGGATCGTAGAAAGGTTCTCCGATATCTCGCTCTATACGTGTGTCAGTTGTATTTTTTTCTTCGATCTTAAAATTAATCCATAATCACTCACAGTCATGTCATACTTCAGTGAGGTATGTGATACTTGCAATTCCACCTTGAAAGCAGCTGCCAAATTTATTCCAACCTCTTTACCACAATGGCGATTTGATTTGCCATTACATTGTCAACGCTGGACCGACGCCATATCCTCTGTCGCTTATCAGCGACAAATCGTTTTCCTTGCCGTTGGCTTGGTAGGTATGTGATGCCCTAAGAGCTCTTTGTACAGAATCGTCGAATGCTCATTCACACCGTGTACCTCTTTGGCTCGTATTTAAAATCAAGGAAATTGTTGCGTGAGAGAAGATGTAGACACATTGTCGCAAACTGATCATGTTATTGCTTGCGTACCTCGTACATCAAGCAAAGGCAATCACCATATATGTGCTAAAAGTGCTGCAACACGTTATCAACAATCAGTTCCTCACTTGAGTGACTCAGTATACTCGTTCCGGTCTCATTTGCAGCACGAACAAGTCGATACAGGTAAAGGAGACTTTGCTGATAGAGGCACTATCGAACGTCAAGTTGCTGTGGATTACACCAGTGCGACTTCGTGGTGTGTCCTACCCTAAATCAGCAGATGCTGTAAGATGCATTATTTGTTTCGGCTATAACTCCGCTCTACGGAACAAATCTAAACAGGTTAAAACAGCTCTGTTTTTTGACAACGATCTGTTATGGTCCATCCGACGCGAGCACTGTAATGGGGCTCCGGAGCATCACACTGGACATACAGTGTGAAGCTACTCTCACTGAAAGCAGTGTGAGTGGTGCCTCGCTACCTCTGTAAACTACAACGTGGAAGGGAAAGCAACTAGGAAGCATGACTAGTTGGCGGTAAAAGTAAAACTGTATTACATGTAAATAAATCCTAATTATTAACCTATGTTTAGCCTTAGCTGTGTTTTACTTATCTACAAAAGTGTATGCTTAAGTCCTGCTCACCACTTATTGCGCGCGTCCATCTTTGATTAGACCGCTAAAGCTGGCTGACATGATGGCCCAAAATAGCCAATCGGTTGTGTTTCTGAATATTACTCTTTATACTAATATTCACGAATATTATCAATCTTTATGATAATGATATCAGTAACAAGTATTCAGGGTTAAAGGCATGTAATCGGCTCACCTTGTTACAAACACGACAACGGTGGAGCAGACGACAATGGTGGAGCAGACGACATTGGTAGGTACATCGTCCAGTCGGTGTGCTACTGGACGGTCGGAGCTGGTCGAACGGGACCTCTTGGCGATTCATCTGCGCGACATGAAAGTATCTGATAATGTTCTCGACTTTTGATTGTTCAGGTACAATTAGATCGGTATTATTGACGACTGAACAGTGATCGCCGCCCCGGCCCCAGTTCCCATTTCCCGAATAAAAGCGTTTATTAGTTTTTTACTTTGAACACACCACTTTTATTTTAGATGTTAAATCACGTTTAATCTTGAGCTTGATAAAATCCAAACGGATCCCTAAAGTCGACGCAAGCATCGCCAATCACGTGACTTCCTCTCGTGGGTTGTATTCTAAGTGAGAGAGACAAAGAAAACGATGTTCCGCTCGCCGAAGCCCGGGGACTGGGCAGCTGAAGACAATGAGACGTTGTCTGTAGCCACCGTCCCGCCGTCAACAGACGATGCAAAGGCAGCAGCAGCGGAAGCGAAAGATGCAGAAGAAGCGCCAGCATCTACTCACGCGCCGGTGCAGGACGCTCGAGATGACGAGCGCGGGAATACTGGCGGGCGCTTTGATCGGGACAGAAACGGCAGCGAAGGGTATTTGCGGCGGAATACTGGACGCTTTGACCGGGACAGAGGATCAGATCGTGAAGAGAGACACTTTGACCGGGACAAAAGACCGGATCGAGAAGAGAGACACTTTGACGGGGATAGGGGTTCGAACCGAGATGGTGGACGCTTTAACCGGGGCAGAGAGAATACGGGTGGACGTTTTGACCGTGAAAGAAACGGTGGCCGAGACGAGGGACGCTTTGACCGGGACAGAAACGGTGTTCGAGACGGGGGACGCTTTGACCGGGACAGAAACAATGGTCGAGAAGGAGAACATAGAGAACAAGGTGAAGGACGTGCTGACGTTGGCAGATGGGGACGCCACGCTGACCGGCGCGGTGACGTTAGTGGTGGTCGTGATTTGCCAGTGGAGCAGGGCTTCGTCGTGTCCATTAAGGAGACGTTTGGTTTTGTGAGCTGCTTGGACAGGGAGGGGGATCTGTTTTTTCACATCTCAGAAGCGCCCGTGGACGTACAGCTGCATGACGAGGTGGAGTTCCGAGTCAAGTACAACCAGCGGTCGGACAAGGATGTGGCATGTCAATTAGTCGCACTACCGAAAGGAACTATCAAAGTCGAAGTAATTAATGACGAAGTGATTGACGGCATAGTGACGAAAAGTTTGCCGCGTGGAGGGCGTGGCAACGGTCGGGGGTCTTTCAATGGTGACCGCCACCATAACCGTGAAGAGCACGGACTGATTGAGATAAAGATGACAAGAGATAGCGAGGACACAGAGGATGTTGGTGCAAAAGAAGAAGCCTCAGCAGACATCGAACAGAGCAAGTCGGCCGACAAGCAGACACTCGTCAGACGCGAGTTTGTGCGCTTCAACAGTAACAGTGTGGCTAATACCGGTGTCAATTGCAGTGAGGAGGACCAAGAGCAAAGCAACCGACCTAACAAGAGCCTTGTTCTGCACTGTGGTGATGAGGTTCGCTTCCGTGTTGCGAAACACCGCAAGACAGGAGCAAAACGTGCTGTGGATATCAATATTATGGTGTCTGCTCGGGACAGGTTTGAGAAAGAGGTTGAAGCCAAGTTGGCAACTATGACGCGTGAGTCCGGTGTCGTGAATCGAGTAAAGAATAGTGGTGGATTTATTAAGTGCTGTGACCGTCCCGTAGACGTATACTTTCATTTCCGTGACATTCTTGGCTCGGCGCTGTCTGAAGGAGATAAGAAGAGTGGTGAACATGCTGACGGGCAATCGGGCGATGAGCCTGAACGTAGCCAATCTAAACAAGGGTGTTCAGTCCAAGAAGGTGACGAAGTATCTTTCTTTGTATATGAGAACCCGGCGGACGACTCCACCCGCTCCCAGCTTCGTCTGACGGCGGTTCGTGTGCAGAAGCTTCCGCCCGGAACTGTTTCTTTTGAGAACTTGTTGCAGGCTGATGTTAGGGGTCTTGTGTTAGCGCCCCCAAAAGAAACTCGGAATGGGTCTGAGGTAATTGGCAAGATTGCTATTATACCTGTTCAGGCAAGCGCTGCTGATAAATCAGACGAGACAGCAGATACGGCCTATGAACCCGCGCCTAACAGCGATGAGGAAACTGCTATGAGAAAGAAGAGCAAGGATGATAAAGATTCGAGCCGGACAGTGGCATTTCGGTTGCATGACATCGAAGATGTGAACTATTTTCCTCGCGTAGAAGACAAGGTGGTATTTGACGAGGTGCTGGACAAGCGTACGGGCAAGGTGAAGGCCGCGAAGATTCGCGTAATACAGCTTAACCCCAAGAACCGTGAGACCGGCACAGTCAACGCGATGAAGGAAGACTTTGGTTTCATCAAGTGCGCTGAGAGATCCGGAGATGCATACTTTCGCTTTTCCGATGTCACGGGCTCGAACCGCAGCTTTGGTAATGGCACGGAAGTGGCTTTCGATATTGATGTTGATAACAAGTCGGATCACATTCGTGCGACGCGTGTTCAAATCTTGCCCAGAGGAACTGTAAAATGGGAAGATGTAGTCGACGAAAGCCTAGAAGGTACGGTTGTGGCAGTGCCGAGCTCGAAAAGTGGTCATGCCTCAAATCGCGGTGGTCACGGAGACAAAACGAAACGGTTGCAAAAGTTCGTGCCAGGCAAGATCAGCTTTGTGGCTTCCCAGAAGCAGCACGTTATTGACTTTTTGCCGGATCTCAAAGAAAAGCTTGATGCTGCTTTTATAGCTTCAGAAGACGTTGTTGAGGAATTACGGAAGGTGGATGATGAAGAGAAGAGCTCGGGAAAGGCTGAAGATAGCACGGAAATCCGGATTTTGTTTCCGAGTACTCTGTCCAAGTTTGAACGAGTTGCGTTGCACGATTACAGTGCCTTCCTTGGGCTCAAGACCAGAAGCAATGGAGAAGGGTCCCATAGTCAGCTTGAAATCTTTGGAACCGGTAAAATATCTCTTAAGGCTGTACAAGAAAAGTGCGCGAACTCCGCGCCAGAGCTGACAGTAGTGTTCAAAGAAGATGATTTGGTTGACGTTCGATATAACCCGAAAGTGGGCGATCGCGTCAGGTTCAATCTTGTGATGGTCAAGCGGACAAAAGAACTTCGATGCACATCCGTCGCATGTTTGGAGGCAGCCGCTATTAGCAAGACTAAAGTAGCTAGCGTGAAGAGTGACGCAGTTACGGGTGAAGGGTGCATCATTTCTGTGAAACCCGAAGGTTTTGGCTTCATCCAACCTGCTCAAGCAGGGCTCGGGTCGCTGGAAGATAATCTGTTTTTCCACATTAAAGACATTACGACGGGGCAGACTTTGGCAGACTTGAAGGAAGGTACCGAAGTTCAGTACACAATTTATGTTGATGAGAAAAAAGACAAGAAACGTGCTATGAGCGTTCGTGTCGTGCCAGAGGGGACCATCAGGATTGAGGTGCCTAAACGCGTGAAGGGTATTGTTACTAAGGCAAGTTTCTTGCAGCGCATGAAAGGTGGAGGGAAAGGTCGGTTTGCGAAGGCAAGTAACAAAGCAAGTACTATGGGACGTATCATGTTGGTAGCAGCAGAAGATAGTGCTGAAGACGATGTTGCTGCTGTTCGTGGTGGTGCAAACGGAGACAGCGATGATGCGCTTGATGAGGACGAAGAGATATCGCAGGCGACAAGTAAAGATACAGGAACGAGTGAGCAATCTGCTCCTGGAGTGGCGAAAAAGGCGGAAAAGAAGAAGTTTGATAAGCAGGTTTATTTGTACAACATTCGTGATATCGATGATCCGAGTGTTGTTCTACGTGAGGGTGACGAAATCGAGTTCATACCTCAGTTGCAGCAGAAAGCCCCTCGTGCAGCTCACGTGCAGCTTATCGCCTCTCATGCAAAGCAAGGTGTTGTCACACACATCACGGAGGATCTTGGTGGTGTCATTTGCTTGGACGGTGAAGAGCCGGCGGTCGAGGCTCGTTTCACTGCTCGAGGAGTACTGTGTGGGGATACGCTGCGTGAGGGTGATCGTGTTGAGTTTGCATATAGGCCGCCTTCTGCTTCTCTTGCTAAGAATGAACGTCCAAAGAGCGATATAGAAGAGAAGAAAGCAGCGAGAAATGATGGAGGATACATGAAAGAGATTGAAGAAGTCAACGAAGAGTCAACAAAGGTAATTATGGGTCAGGCTTTGAGCGTTCTCCGCCTCTCCTCGTCACCGGACTCAACTGTTGCATCCCCGCGACGAGGCTCGCGCATGGTGAATTCGACGTTGAAGGAAGCCATGCGCCAGGTTGGCGCGAACGCGATGGTGGCATCTCGTATGGCAAAGGGGCCCAATGGAACGCGTGGTTTCGCTGAGACTTGGGACCTTGACCCTGCAGAGGCACTGGAGGTGATGCTTGAGGAGCCCGTTGTGGAGTCGTCAACCGCCTCAGTTACGGCAGTTGGTACCACGGAGCCAAGTGAGCCATAAGCATGGAGCGAGCTGGTTATTGACTACTTCGTCACGTCAATTGGAGATGGTACCATGGAGCAGTGGAAGCTACAAGGTTAGAGTTGGAGCGTTCTAGTACTGACTGCTAGTTCGTCACGACTAAGGGATGTGAAAGACCGCATGCATCGAATGCTCTATTGATAGCCCGTCTATAGCCGAGCCAACCGTTATGCAATAAATTGTTGCTGCAATGTGCGACTTCGTGTGTGGTTATTGCAACGGTAAGCCATTTTCATAGCCGGTGGAGCAGTCGATGCAATGCTGCCAGTGTGGGACGTGATAGGCGATACCGATAAGCCATATCTTCATCTCAACATTCTAGTGGACACGACAGAGGTAATAATGGTGACTCACTCAAACTATGTTCTTGTGGTTGAGGCGTGTGTGGTGCAACATATTTGACCAAGAAGCTCCATACACTCGCTTGTCAAAGCACCGACAGATAACTGGTTTAACAAAATGTAGGAAGCTCAATTTGCTAACTGCATCGGTGCATGATCGTACACGGTAGTGATTTCTAGTACGTAAAAAGATTTCGGGGACCACCATGCGCATTGTCCGTAAATTTGTAAGCAGCGATCAAATGTGAATCAAGACAACAAAAGCTACAGGAATCCGATGACATGACCTGCATATACCTCATGGACGAGTTCTTGCAGGGCTGCTCGTAAAAGTGCTAAATGGAACTCTGTAAAATGTAAATACGGTCATTTCTCGGATAACGCATTGGCTTGGTGGAGACAAATATATGAATTAGCCGAGTTTCGAGTTCAGTGAATGTCCAAAATTCTGATTTCTTGTTTTGTGAAAAGATAAAAATAGTAAATTAGCGGTTTTCCCATCCAAATTTCATCTAAATAAGTCCTCAGTACTGTCAACAATGTATGAAGGCTCGAGAGTTGACAGCACAAGGCCTAAAATTTAAATTATGAACCATAGCGTACTGGAAAATCAGATATCACCCAGAACACAATCTCTCTGGTAATCAAGTAGTGCACTGATATGGAGCGTAATATTGATATAATTGACTTTTCGCCAAGCGCCCGACATGCGCTCATAATTCAAAAACAGAGGAAGACCTGTCAACATGGGTGCTTCAATGCCAAAAAAGGAATATTTACCTAATTATAAGAATCATCAAAGTCAATGCTTTGGTGTCATCGGAACGCCTTGGCCTAACTGAAGACACTGTTAAGTTCTCCTGTGGATAGACGCAAAACCAGCAGCAGCGGAACAAGCTACACACCATCTAGGTTTTCGGCGAGAGTAGTTCGACAAATGATGAAGTTACGGATGCAGCACTGCTATGTTTCGGGCTGTAATTGCTCTCTGTGAGCCCAAAAATTTGTTCAGTATCGACGAAACTAATGTTTGAGAATCAAGAACTCGTTATTTAGGCTGATGTTGTAAAATACTGGAAATGATTCAGGCCTATTTACAACATGAAAAATAAAAATACAGTCGGGTCGATAGAGATTAAGAATCTTTAGAAACCGAAGGTCAGAGTTAGTTTAATTCATAGAAAAAGCTGTTACTCTAGATTTCCAGTTCGATAACGGTTTTTTCCCTATTTTATTTAATCAATGATCTCCATTGTCTTCACGACCAAAGAGGATGATACTTGAGATGTCCATCCGTATGGCTGCCACCACTCAGAGCACCCTGGATTCTTGTTAACACTAGTTTAGTACTCTCAGACACTAAGTTCCCCTCATTTTGCCTTTAAATGAGGAACATTGTTTCTATAGCCAAGTAATATTCTCGTCGTATGATTTTCGTCCCTCGGAAACTCATATTTTACGAGCCCGATGGGTAGAGCTATTAGTGGGTGTGCGTAAGGTTGAATGCCGAACTTTTCGATCGCACTTATCGATGTGAGTCTGTCAGTGTGCGTGTCCGTCTGTAAACAACGCGGGTAGGTGTACCTGACTCGTACTAAATACGATCTAGCCTGTCCCCCTCACAGGTCAATTAGCATGATTGGTGTCACTATAGCTAGGTCAATATCGTGATTCATGTATTTCATTGGCTTAAAATCGATCGAAGGTGAAATGGCTACATAAGCAAATACTGGACGCTCACAAGCAAAGGCCGATCGCATTGCCCAAGTATACCGTACTCTGTTCATACAGACATTAACAGCATCATACTCATTCCTCAGTGTCTGCCGTCGTATAGACTCTTGCAACTTGACTCAGTTCTCCAAACTGAATTACTCAAGTCAAGGGGCGAGCTTCAGAGCTTGCTCCCCTATCTTAAGTTAGCGACGATCGAACGAGCATGGTGGATCGCGATTTGTAAGAGCTATATGAGTTATCCGGGGAATGACTGTATACTCGATAAACACGTCAAAAGTCTGCAACCTACAGGCATTGTCGCAGACAACCTCATAGCGAGCTCTGTATCCGTTGTAATTTGTGGGGATGGAACCGATCATCACCGAATAGCTCTATGGCAAATAATTGGCCTTCCACGAAGAAGTTTCGTGTGGAAAGGCCAAGTCATGCAGTTGGTTGTCTGCTTCGATGACTTGTCAAGCAACTTTGTTCTCATGACCAGGAACGAACCAACTTGGCTAACACGTCCTTTGCTACTTACCAGTTATTACTATACACAAATGTCTGCGCATAATGATGCACCCAATCTTGGTCTAAAACGTACGGCGATTGCACGAAAATGCTTCACTCCCCGACATTGTACGCCACTTTGCTAGTGCATGGACGGACAAAATTCTACACGCGTGCTCAGCGATACCGTTTCACCTGCCGTCGGATCGACGACGATACGGATCGTCACCTATTGCGCTTGACCATTTGTATCGCTTACGTCAGCTCGGTGCACGATGGCTGGCGAGACATAGGATAAGGGCGGAAATGAGATATCCCATTGCTAGCGTCTGTGCTTCATAACCGCATGAGTGTCTAAAGCAATACAAAACTCAGGCAGACGCCACTTCGCTTGTCCAAAAGCGTTAATTACACCCGACCCAAATACTCTACACTGATCACCTCATCAGCTTGTGAGTTTATTTCCATTTCATGCACAAAATGTTGCTCTAGTCGGTAGCTGGAGCTGTAGTATATTTTAAGGGTCACCTTCAACGGACTGCCGCACGAAGCTACCTCTCCTTTTTACACGTTTTTGTCCATCCGATTTCAGCGTAATCGATTGCGAGCTTAACAGGATGAGGTGTTCGTACTCAGCGTATACCACTTGTGCAACTAATCGGCACAAACTTTTTACGCCAGCGTGAGAGGTCGAAGAGGAGTAGAAACAATTGCAGTAATCACAAAATGAGCGGATCTAAACGCGAGATGGCCGAAGTAGCCGATAGTCGCAGCAGGTTTCGCGTGACTGTGAGCCTTCACTTTTGCTATAACTATCTCTCTGCGACTCCGTCTTCAGCTTGTTCGTACTCGAACTGGAAACCCGCAATCTCTTACGCTTGTGTGTACCTAAAGCTGCTTCTGCACAAACAGTTCGAGCGTAATTCCACGACCTTTGGAGTGCTTAACGCCCACGAGCAACAGACGCTTGCTCGACACCTTATTTTGTCAACTTTCGTCGTAACGTTCTTGTTTGCAGCGTGCGGCAAGCACCAAGAGTGCATCACTACTAAAATCATTGTCTTCATATATCAGAAGTGCAGTATCTGCCTTGAGGATAACGACAAAAGTTAAAGGGGCTTCACTTAGCAGACGGCGGAGCTGCGTGAGTATCACCTAGTGACAAGGGCACCGACGACGTCATCAAACGCACTTTATCGCCAGCATTGTTTAACAACAGCGACCAATTGTTTGACGCTGTCGATAAGCTCAAAAGGACAAACGACAAGTCCATCCTGTTGCTTATCAGACCGCTACCAACCAACGAACCATCGAGCCAAACAATCAACCAACAAGCTTCTGAGAAAACGTTGTCCAGAAGTCCCCAAAAGACGACGACACGACTTTACTTCTGCGTTTATCAGTCATTAAATTCTACAGCAAGTGTGTCGCTTTACTCACATCCTCGCTCTCACCTCGCGATGGAACACAGACTTGATCGTCTGCCGTAAACTGCGTAAGCCTCGAAAGCATCATCAAGTCCCTTGTACGCTTCATTAACCCACCCAATTCACGCGATGATGCTTCTTCTTCCGTCCATCTCCCCCTTCTCACTGCAACGCAGCAAGCTGCTCAATCGAGGCAATCACGAGGTTCACGTGATCCGAGACTTCCCGAGCTTTTAGCTGCCACTTGTTCCGTTTTCTACATACGCAGCACACGAAAACATCCACAACAAATTGTCACTTAAGCGCTACTTCTTCTCTCTCACTTTCCACCTACTTTCTAATACGTCGTACGTTGTCAAATAGAGTAACTGCGAGCCTACAAACCGCTGCGCTTCCGTCACGGTCATTTCGACGTGAAACTCGAGGCCAATATCGACCGTGACGAGCGACGCGTCATCCACTTTGGCCCGCACATAAAAACGCTCGCCCACGTCCACGAGCGTGTGTAGCGGCTCTGGCGTTGGATCTGCGAGTGTCTGCAGCAGCTCACGCAGTTCCTGGTACTCGTGGACCTCTCGAGTCAGTGCGTCCCGGTGGACGAGAGTTTGCTGCAGTTGCGGACGCAGAACTTGCTCGACAAAGTCGCTATAGCGCTGCAGCGCGGCTGTCGAAGACTCGGACGCCATTGATAGGTGCAAAATAGGGGAGAAGGTGTTCACAGGAACCTTGAGCGAATGAGATGCGATGTTATGTTGCTCGTTGGGCAACGTAGCCGGTCACAGGACGATGACGCAATCTATAGGTTCGAGCGTCTACAGCAGTCAAGTCTATTTAAACTTCCTGTCCAATCAAAATTTGTTATTTAGTTTTACACATGAAAGTGCGCCACAGCAGAGAGATAACTCGGAGATAACTCGGTAAAAAGTTATGTTAACGTGATCCCGCCTACGATTTGTATTTCTGCGACGCCCGATTTAACTTTTTTGGCTGCACGTCATAGGCAAAGATTAGTTGCATGACGTTGGCTGCAGTTGATAGATTAAAACGATGATTTCGAAATCGACGATGTGGTTCTTTAACATACTAGCACAAATATACCCATTGAACCAAACTAGGGAGCAAAATAAAAACAAGGCGACCACAACTTTACCAGTCACGCCCGGCCAAAGTAAACTTATATTATATAGCTATATTGACTGCTGTGGTATTTTTTGCGTAAGATTTCAAAGGAGATTTACTGGTCTTTGAAAGTAACATTAAATTCACTGCTGAAGACGCTCTTAGGAACTAGTACTTAGCCCCTGACCACTTACACGAATGGGTCCAGTCCTAGTAATCTTTTATGAGCAAAATTTCGCTGACATTTTTTTAGAAACAACTAAAATCCACAATTATCAATGCAACCTCGTAGATAATACTGAGTCGCGTTGATAATTGTGGATTTTATTGTTACTGGGAAAATATCAACGTAATGTTGCTTGTTTTTGATTAATTTTACACACTTTTCATTCCGGTAGCCTGAATGCCACACTAGTGACCTCAGCCCAACCGCAAAAGGCCACGACTACTGTGGGAGCATACTGTAACATGGTGCCTCCGTTACACGATACTTTACTTTTGGTAATTATCAAGCATGAATAAAAAGCTAGAACAACACAATATTCTCACAATAACATTCTAATGAATAATGTTGCTTCGCGGATGTGACACACTGCTCATTGGTTTGTGAAAGGACCGAAATATCAACCAATAAAGTCTAGCCACGACAGAAGCATGCAATGAATGGTGGGCGGATAGTTACAATGCATGTTTGTATTTAGACTCAGCTGAATGAAGTCAAATAGGGATTGAATTAAAAAACTAACTATGCTAAATACAGTTTTACTTTATACCTCTAATGGGTAATCTTACTCCTTTTGGCAGTCTTCCTATGCACGTACGTCTACGTGAGGTAGTTGAACGTGCACACCCTTGTACTGTCAGCAATGCAAGGTTTATTCATCTAGCTGAAAAGGGTGTGCTTTTTACACACACACACCATTTTTGCTACAGTCACACCCGGTCCACCCTAAAAAAACCAATGACTGAGAACAACCACGATTGTGATTGAAGTAAGCAGCTTCATCGGTGTCATTTCGATCGATGCAATACGGTTGAACCGATGACGTGTAGAAGGGCAAATGGTACTATTTGGGCTTGTAAATGGAATTTAAGCCTCACGCGTCGTGATTGAGTCCCATCAGTCCCAACATTGCCGGGTGTGCAAAATAAAAACACGTGCATCATCGTCCATAACCAGTTCTATATAATAACCCTATTCCCTAATACGCTGACCAGCACTTGACCGGGCTCTTGCCGTCCAACTCATTCTTGGTTAGCTTCTGGACGGTGTTTTACAGAATCTACATGGGAACCTTCACGCCATGTGTCACTTCCAACTATTATTGGATGTTTCAAGAAGGCACTGTCGCGTCAAGCGTCCCTATAACAACTACAACCTTCTCTTGGGAGAGCTTTGGGTGCTCAAGTGCCTGACCGGATGCGACGAAGGACTGTGGTTGTGGTTGACGGTCTCGATGCTGAAGGCCAAAGATCCGTCCGTCTTGGCATCGTCGAGAATCTTCTATTTGCAATTTACCAACCTTCTGGAAGTCTGTCGCTTCATTTTGCCGTCGCGGAGGTTATAAACGTTTTTGTAATTACCGCCGCGATCGTACTTGTAGCAAACCCGTTGCAGATCTTGCCTCGTTTTCTATAATCTGGCGACGACGATGGCATACCGTTTGATAGCCGCAAAACTGTTCTAGGCTGTTTCCATCTCGTTTCGGAAAGGAAAGCTGGTTGCAACGAGATGTGGGGGTTGGAGCTGTTTCAATAACGGTTGTACCTATTTATGGCCCTCGCCCGCCATTTTGAAAGTCCAGATCTAGATCTGTGCTTAAATCCGTATTTCTGTCGCATTTTATGGGTACGAGGGACGCAGACAAAATTGTGCGGACAAGACATGTCTTTATTAATTTTTTTTCTTTTGCAGGGGGGGATCCCATCGTTAAACTCCACAACACTTGTCTAAACAACTCCAGCAACACGGTGGGTGCATTTAGATGCAACCGTACTGTGTTGTACATGTAAGTGGTTCTTCATTATCATTTGTTGTTAGATGCCAAAATTATCAGGTCGGCTGGTTTGTCCATATAAAAATTTAGAGATGCCCATAGTCGCGGCCGAATAACACACGATAGAACACAAAACACTCGTTCCATCCTCGTAGCTCCAGACTCCAGCTAAAAGAACAAATAGCAAAACCGGCACCAATCAGATGCAAACATTGCAAAACCAACACCACCTGAAATCGAAATCAGTGAAAACCACGCTGTTTTAGGAATCTATAAATACATTTTTCATGTTTAAGGTGCCAAGAGTAAATTTGATTCGAGTAAGTACTTGCATTGAGAGTCCAACAAATGGGCAGCACTCGACTTCGGCGCAGTCATGGTGCCACTGAACTGATTCTGGGACGGTAATTCCAGACGGGGGATGACACAACGATGCTCTCAACGAAATATTGTTTTGACAAAATTAGATAGTGCAAGATGAAGTATGGTGGCACTAAAAGCAAGACTTGTGCGTACCCACACGATGTATGCCCGTTGGAGGTTCCATTGGTAAAGTGAGAGAGATTAGGCTCATCTTCAGAGTACAAAGTTTCGACATTCAAGATTAACCACGCTGATGTGTCTATGGCGATTACTGAACCGTCGGCTAGACAAATTTGGCTGCTGCTAACATTTAAAGCAGCTGCTCGGGTCGACAAGTCCGCTGATCTAAAATTGATTATGTTCTTGTCAAAATTCGTGATGAATCCAATCTCCGTCATTTATCGTGACAAGCTCTACGGAGATAAGGAAGCAGCTGTCGAAGCGACGGAAGGGTCTCGGCCAGCATTTTTCTCGCTCCTTGATTTAAACTTGTTGGAGGGAAGCGTGTTAATCAATACAGCACTATTGCACTCATATCATGCCAAGACAATCGCTTTTTATAATTTATATGGCGTTTGGTGAGTCAATTAGTAGCCACCGTTATAATGTGCCGGTTCAGGCTTCTGTGGCACGCATTCGCGTCATTGTAAGTACAAGGTCGTGGTCCTTTTTCTTCTTAAACGATACTAAAACGTCTAGTATGTCACGCTGGTTACAGCGTTCGTGCATGTTGAAGACGAGGAGTTCATGGTTTTTTTCTCGCACTGCGTTAAAGCCGCGCTTGGCATCATTAATGCCGCAGTCATGTGTGATCGTGAACACAGTAACTATACTAAAAAGCCAATTTGTTTAAAGACGGGGACAAGAATTTAATTCACTTTTCTAAAATCCTGCGGATGACGACGATTCGATCGAGTGTAAATTAGACGTAGTAGAGCATGTGGCGGTTATAAACGACAATGATGGTGACAGTGCCGATGAGGTGACGATAGGGCCACCCGAGGATCTAGACTGTTGTATCCGTCTGTAGTAATTTTTTTGCTACAGCTCGACAGTGACGAACTGATTAAGAAACTGGCAAGTATCACCGAGGCGTTAGAAAGCAATGCTCGATGCAAGAGACTCAGTAGAGTATAAATGCATTTCCGAAATGTGTTCGTATTGACCGTCCGTGTAAGAGCGTTTTTAAATAGGGAACGAGGCACACACGCGCCACAAATTTTAGTCCGCTATATGTGTGACAACAGTAAAATTTTATTTAACTTTATTTGTAAGGTGCAAGAGGCTTAAATTTGCAATCTGCATCTTTTTTTACAATGGGCACAATAACTTAAGTGGGCGTAGGTAAAAGTGCTTTGAATCTAAATCAAGGAATAAATGGGCACAGGCCAATTAACCAGGTTTTTGGCCCATGGGTCGGTGCGGTAAGAGCCAATTTAAAAATATAATTCCCAGTCAGCACGTAGTTCCGTCTTATTACTGTATCAGGAACCTTCTTACGAGCACTCGAAAAAAATCACGAAGATAGAAGGTTTGAAAATGCTAGAAAGTTCTGCAAAATATACTCATTCAGACGATAGCATAGTATTTTATATTTCCTGTTCGTTTGTATCTCTCTTCCTTCGCAGGCCAAATAGAGGAATTTGCACATTCTTCGTTCGATCGCCCTCTCCATAGCATAATTTTATGACCACCAGTAATGATAACATTGCTTCCATGCCGCCAGTACGCCTTATAAGAGATTACACCGCATCCAGCGATTCGATCACCAAACTAGCTAAAAATGCAAGAGAAAAATCTTTACAAATTATGTGAAACTTTAATTTTTACCACGTACATAGCATTATCCTACACGTCAAAACGGATATTCACTGCTTCTAGAAAGATAGGGTGAGTATTAAGTGTTCACGTAATGCGCACAGGAAGCGCGCATCATCTTAAATCCACCAACCATCTTTATTGGCGGCAGAGGGCTCCTACCAAAGTAATTTTCCCGTTCAAGATAGTAATTCGGTCTAGGGTCGGTACTTATGGTAAGAATAGCCAAAAAAGGACCTAAAGCACCTCCAAGCAAACAACGTTGAATACGTTATTCTCCCTGTAGCAAATTGTACAAGGCTCGCGCCAAGTGGGGTTTACAATGTAATTATGCTTTGCGATAGTGGTGAAAACCGAAGTCACTCTCGGCCACAGTCGGCACGCTCGGA